GTTTAATCCCTGACTAATTAACTGATCCTTTTTATAGGTCAAAGCTCGGAATAACATATCACAATGGGACTCCTCCGGTCTAAGTGTAGTTTCTTCCGGAACTTGGATGAAGGCAAGAACAAATGGTACTCCTGATAGGTCTAATTTGTTAAGCTAGCAGCTGAAGCAAAGGTCTTATGTTTTCCGGAATTTTTATTCCTGACTTGAATTAAATAACTCAAAAAATGTTCGATTTTATCATTTGCTTACCGTTTTCTTTCTATTTTGTTTCTCGCCTGTATTGTTTATTTTGCACAAAAGCATGTATGTTTGCGTGTTTGCAACCACAACGAAGGCCGCAAAAATATTTTTTAGCTTTTGTTTTATTTGAATTCTCAAAACGCTTTGAACAATGTCCTCAACATTCTTAAAAACGTCCTTTACATTTAAATTGTTTGTTGCTCTTGTTTTTGTGTATCTTCAAAAACATTTAGCAAGCTTAAGAGTATGCCCGTCGAGCTAATTTATAGGCTTGGTAATTGTTTTTGGGACTGAAAGAAAAAAACTGATGAGAGTGGCAAGAAGTGCCACACGCGCTTGCGCACATGCCTTGCGTTGCGATTTGAAATTGTTGAGCTGCATAAAAAAGTGACACTGAGAGAAATAAACGAGTTCTAATCAGCGTTGCCACTTTGGTAATTTTTAAACAAAATTGGTAAGTTTTTGCTTTATTTATCAAAATTGGTAATTTGGTAATTTATTTTTCAATTTGGTAACTTACAGAAAGCGGCTTATATAATATTTTTCAATCGAATGAGGCCCATAAAGCAGAGTTCGTTGAAACTCTATGGGTATGTAAACCTTCTAGGTGATTTTATCAATTCTCTAAAGCATCGTTTAAATATTTTGCAAAAAAAAAAAAATCCATTGCGCTTTCATGGCGCAATCTAAACCTTCAACTCTTTTTTTCGGTGTTGCTCAAATTAACCTTTTTTCATTCTTCTTTTCATTTCAAAAGATTGGACTTCTGCGCCTTTTCATTTTCATTGGAATTTCTGCACCAGAATGCGAACGATATTTTTAAGGATGCCATTTATGGGCAGAGTTGTTGTTTTTTGTTTTTATTTAAATCGCATGCTTGCCCTTTTGGTAGGCTTGTCTCCGAATTGAGGCGTGGAAGTTGCTGCGCGCCAACATATCAGGTTTAACGAATTAAAAAAGGGTATCATTGCACAACACTCGAGACAATTTGAAGGTGTGTTTCACACAAAACAAAACAGAAAAAAAAAACTTGATTATATTAGCGACAAAACGCAAATATTTAAGGAAGAAACACTAAAGATATATTCCTGAAATTTACCCATACTAGTGCACAAGTAACTGGCACAGTCCAGAAAGGGTCATTTAACTCGTTTGCCGGTAGTCGCGTTAAGTAATTTTAACCATTGTGATATTGCTGGGCTGGCCAATAAATTAGTTGTTGCCATATTATATTCAAATGAAAATAGCATTGTTTGTGTTAAGTGTGGCTATTTGTGTACGCGAGTGGCGATCGTGGCTTTGACCTCAAAATGTGTGTACCTATCGAAACGTTTGCACAGATTTGATGTGTATTTGTGACGTCAACGAGTACATATATATGTAGTGTTGGTTTTAGGATAGTGTCATTTTATGGGAATTTTTTCTTTTGCTTACCAAAATATTAAAAGAAATTATATTTATCTTAAGGAAAAAACAAACCAAAAATAAAGGAGAAGCATATATTTCTGTCCTTGGTGATAGCTCCACGATTGTGTGACAGCTAAACCTGAACAGCAGTCCTGGAGAGTTTTTTAGGGTTGGTTAGTTATATGTCCAGGTTACGAGAAAATGTTAAGATGTTTGCACCTCAGTCCGTTGTGATATTTAGCCTCAGTGTTATGTAAATACGTTAAATAGAATTGAGAGATGCGATTTTGTGGGATCCAGAAGATCTCGTCACAGCCGGCGCTCCACTCTCGATCAGAAAGACTTTCGCCCATCATCTATGGACCTTGCGGCAAAGAACCACGGGGAGACTGATTGCAACAGGGGAATTCAAGCAAAGAAAAAATGGCCACAGCTCAATAGCCAAAGGGCATGTAGCCACCACGGGCATGAAGCCTAGCCGGAAGACATTTAACTTCTACACAGACGGCTCAAAAACGAATGATGGAGTAGGAGCGGGAGTGTACTGTTCAGAACCTAGTGTTCGTCGGCCCATCAAACTGCCGGATCACTGCAATATATTCCAAGTAGAAGTTTTCGCTGTGAAAAAAGCTGCTGAGCTAGCCTACTCAATATCTGAAAACAACTATAATGTTAAAATATTCGCAGATAGTCAAGCGGCGATTAACCTCGTACCAATTTACGTCACAATATGCCCTTAGAAGCAGGGAAGCCATAAATCAGGCAGCAACGACCAGGCGACTGCATATTTATTGGATCCCCGGCCACAAGGGAATTACAGGTAAAAAAATTGTTGATGAGATTGCCAAGAGTGGAATCCACTTGGTTCTAGAACAATATCGGGATGGAAACACCTGTAAAATCTCTAAAGCCATGTGCACAATGGAAAACGGGACAAAACCCGGTTTATACAATGACTGGCACGAAGAGACTGCAGAACTATGATAGATGACATCGATAACAATGGCTATATCGATAATAAAAATGTATGATATTATCAGACATATATACAGCAATATCGGTAGATATAAGAGCAAGCGTATTGAAAAGTAAAATAATAAAAATGTTCGTGAAATTTTATTTTAATGTAAAAAAGTTAGACTCGATAACCAATATCGATAACCGGTTTCAATAGCAATAGCGATAAATACAGCGAGATAAATAGCGATGTATAAAAATGTAAATATCGATTTAAATTTTGGAAGAAATATCGAAAACGAAGGGTATATCGATTATATATAGTATATTTATGATACACTAAAATACAGAAAAATCGGTAAGTATAGTAACAAACGCATTAAAAGTTAAACGTATAAATATGTTTGTAAAATAACCTTTATCGATAATCGGTGTGAATAGCATTAGCGATAACGATTTCGATTAATATAGCGAGATCAATCGCGCTGTACAAAAATATAAACATCGATTTATATATTGACAGGAAAGTCGATAATTCATATAAATAAGTCAAAAACTGGCGATAGGTTAGTGATGCTTTTATGAAAAATATATTGACAATGATGAAAAGCGTGAGTTACATAATTTGGACTGGGTTGAATTTAAATTGTAAATAGTAAGGACTGCAGGTCATCATAATCATGAAGGTATTTATGTATTAGACTATGTTAAAACAGGCACCTAATTGGCAATTAAGAGCCTTTTCCCTGAGAACCCTGCTAGGTATGTTTAATTTTGACTTGGAGGTATGTTTATTGAGCAAAGTGCAATCAGCTGTTTGTATCTGGTCCTCTTTTACAGCTGATATCCCATCAGGGATGGAAAACTGAATTATAAAATTGTACCCAATTTGTGGAAAACCTTACCTAAAAGTAAATAGAAGTACCTAAAAAGTAAATATTTATTTCCACATAAAGAAAATAGGAGGATAACAATTCCCATCGATACCGTATCAACTTCTGTACTCATATTAAACAAATTTTGGCTATGTAAAGAATCTCTTCGAGCAGCGCGAGACAAAACTGTGTTGTAGAAAAGGTGAATCACTTTCCTCCCAGATCTTCGATCTTACGTTTTAAAAAGAAATATTGCAGTTACAGAAATTACAGGTGCGTTACTTTGACCACCCTTCTGTATCATTTGCATGCCCTTCACAAAGGAGGTAACCTATTAGACCAGATTCCCGCATCGGAAAATGCAATGAAATGTCAATAAAAATAAGAACTGATTTCCTGAGAATTTATTTGGCTACATTCCAAATGTACTTAAAATTGTGTGTTTATACCGAATCTACTTTCAAATTAAATAAAGGTACGATTGTATGAACTTTTCCATCACTGTAGGTAATCCAGCACCTGATTTCGTATCGCTAATTGCGCACCTGACGTGTGTGTGAACACCAAACTCAATACCGCAATTTAATTGCTTCAGCTAATTGGCCTGTTTTAACATAGTCTTGCAGACGGAGCATTATTTCATATTCTACTGGATTTAAATTAGAAAAAAATTAACCCTTTTTGAAGCGCAGAAATTTAATCCATACATTTCTCAACCTACATACATATTCGTTGATGATACCTATTTTAAATTTTTTATGTGAAAGTGATTATAATCGCCAAGAATGTTACTTTAATGGTCTTTGCCTTTTATTTTATTACCTTAAGTCAAGTTTTTCAGTTGAATTTTCGCTAAGCCTCATCCTTTGCTTCGAATGCATTCAACACATTGTTTAAATCTCTTATTATTATGTTACTTTTCCACTGAATGCTCTTAACTTTTTCACCTTAACTTTCCTTTTCAACACTTTGCTGCAATGGCCTTCACTTTTTATTTTTTATTCTTTGATTTGGGCTTTTTTGGCATCGGCTTTTAAGTGTTTAACAACAGTGTAAGTTGCCAAAAATTTGCGGTTATTACAAGCTGTCAGAAATGCGGAAACCATCAATTACCAGCTGTCATAAATATATGTCCATTGCATGCAACGACGTCAAACCCTTTGAGTTTTCTTGCAATACATATTTATGTACTTAATATGTATTTCCTTCCACAGACACTTTCGCTTTTTGAGCTACCACTTGCTGTTAAATTTATATGAAAAAAAAATGCTGAAGATCCCTTGAAGTAGCAGTGACATCACTAATTAGTTTTGTCGAAAAACTTCTTTTAAGACGTGTTATGTGTTAAGTGCAGGCACAGGAGCAGGTACGTGCAGTCATATGAACTGTCATATGTATTTATGCCTTTTAACTACTATTCTGTTCATATATTTATGTATGCATGTATATGTATACATAAACATGCATGTGTGTGTAAGCAATTTTCAATACTCGTTTAAATGCATATTTTGTGATACTCACCTTCATACATTTGCGCATATTGCGGAAAGCCGGCAGCACGCAGCCACTTGCACGCTTCAACAGCTTCGATCTCTGTAACGAAGCAACAAAGAATTGGTTATATATATGGCAGTAATAATTCGATATCATATATAGGTAAAAAGATATACATATACGTAGTTGCTTACATGCATAAACACGTATGTATATCTGTATGTACTTGTATACACGTAAAAAAATAAATTTCTTTTAAAAGCTTTGTACTTAAAAACCTTTTATCTTTGCTCGACGCTTTTTCGAGTTTTTCGCTGTCCATAATTAATTTAACTATTTAACTGAATTGCATAGGTCGGTTAATAAAAAAAAAAAATTTAACAATAAAATAATGGACAGTTACCAGATTCGGAAATATTTTTTTTTGGCGCATTGCCTTCGCTACTGCCCACATGATAGGTGATATGCCCAGGCGGATATTGAAATGGCGAGTGCATTGTTGAAGCAGATGACTACAATGCAGTAAGCTTTTAGTGCAACACTTTGTGGGCAATAATTTAATTAGTTCGATAATTTTTTGTCAAAAGTAAAGGGTATTTCAGTATGACGAGTGCCTTAAAGCTTTTTTGTACAAAGTATTGGTTATTTAAAATCATTAGGGAGGCAGCGCAATCAAGTGGTTTCACGAACAGGGCCTGTTCGGATCACAGGTGGCGCGCTTGACAAAAGGCAATTTATAGAATGTATAGAGACGAAGCTCTCTAAAAAGAACAGCAATAATGTGACTTAAAAATAACAAAGCTCTCGGACTACTCTAGTGCTGCTGGTAGAGCGCAGTAAGCGAGCACAAAATCACGCTCAACAAGCAGTTCCTAGAACCTTTCCCTAGGCATGTCAGGAGGCACCTGTACGAACTTAATTATGAGTTTCAATGGTAACCACAGGGAGGCTTTTACCACCTACACCGACTCCCGTCTGGTGTAAATGCCGTCACAAGAGTTCAATCACTACCAGTAGACGATAGTGAGCTTCAACCACCAAGATAGTCCTGCGTGACTCTAGCCAAATCACAGTCTGGATATTATATCCGTCGTAACTCCTACCCATTCAGACGCGACCCCGACATACCCATTGAGCATCTAGCATGTAGACAACAACCACTTCTTCACATGCCTACTCAACCCAACTCAACTAATATCCCTCTCCCTCTGGTTCTGTAGAGTTTGATGACAATGGTTGAAGGAATATCCGATTTAGGTAGGGCTAAGTAAGGCTTTGGGGTCTCTCGAGAAAACTGGTATCATACCCCTGTGCGGCTATTCAAATATTTCATAATTGTTAGTGGAACCTGTGCTTCAGCTCTTTATATATAGTAGTTGATAGTTAAGAAGTGATCCTCGGCATTACCTCACGATGGGCGAAAAAAGTGGGATCCGACCGGCTGCTTATCTGGGCGGACTTACTCAAATTTAACAGAAAAGAAGAGTATAAATATTTTACCTCAATGGCAAACACCTGCCGTCGTTTTTGAAAGTAATTAAAAAAATTAATTTAATTTATACATACAAGGGCAGGCATCTCTAATGTAGGAAAGCACTTGTTATTAAATTTAGTAAATGCATCATTGAAATTTCAAAACATTTAGTTATGTAATGAAATTTTTTGGAAATACTGTAGCCTAATGCTTGTTCCAAATCACATTAACCGCAACAAATTTTTTTTCCATATATGTATACATAAACCCATTAATTAGTAGCTGCATGCTGTTTTGGCAACATTTCCATGAGCATAAATTTAATAACATTTTCAGTTTTCAGTCGCAAACCACAAGTATTAATAACATTTTATTCGAAAATTCAATGCATATTATAAATAACACTGACATCTTTTATTGGAGAGTACATTTAAATTAAAACTTAAAACAAAAGTTTTAAAAAGCATTTGCATATTTGCTTCGCGGCGCCTAATAATATCTTTTGCGTTGGCCAATACAAAGATAGCGTTTAAAAGCGAAAGCAGTCTGTAAAGTAAACGTTTTTAGACGACTAAAACGCATCCTTGATTTAGCCATCTGAAAAGTAAATTCGTCTAAGATAAACATAGGGTCAAGCAGAACAAACTGCGTGGGGGGTGTTTATATATTCCGGCTGCAGCGCCATCCATTGGGTCCCTCTTCTGCAAAACCTTTGCTTGTCATGAAATGAATACGCATTATGAATTCCAATCAGATTTTATAAAAACGACGGATTTTATAAACACCATTTTTAGCGAAAGAATTTTTCATCATACAGGTAGTCACGCTGCGAATTTGAACGAAATCGGTTAAAAAATACGATTTTCATAGGTAACTCTACTCCAGCGCCACCAGCGTGTCCTGTCGTGTAGCCTATAATAGGACCATATATGCAAGGCCTCCGACAATTTGACTGGGTTCTATTAGTGGTTTGGGTTTAACTCGCCTCCCACGCCACCTAGTGGCTCCGTTTTTGGTAAACGTATTTTCCATCATGCTGAGACTATACCCTTTGAATTTGAAAGAAATCGGTTGGTAAATACGATTTTTATAAATAACTCGACTCCAGCGCCACCTAGCGGGCCCATTTTTGGTAAACTTATTTTCCATCATGCTGAGACTATATCTTTTCAATTTAAAAGAAATATGCTCATAAATACGATTTTCATAAGTAATTCGACAGCAGCGCCACCTAGCGGGTCAATTTTTGCGTGCGAATTTTTCATTTTGCCTATAACAGGGCCGTATATGCAGGTTATAATCTCTGAAAATTTGACTGAAATCTATTCAGTAGTTTTTGAGTTAACTCCGATCAACGAAAACGGCTATTATTTTATATATATAGATGTACATACATATGCAAAACAAAATATGTATAACAGCACTTACTCGGATTTTAGGTTAATCAAGTTATGATTAATCAGTTTTGCTGATTAATGAAATTAATTAGATTCTGTTTACTCGGAAAATTAATCAATTTGATTAATCAAAAATAATAATTATTTAATGAATTACTTAATCGGCTTTCGATTAATCAGCTTGTTCGATTAATTGATTAATCGCACATTCCTTATATGTACATATTATATAGCATTTTCAGTTTAAATGAAACCATTTTAAATTTTTGTTTTTTTGCTTAAAAATTATAATATGATTTAATTTAGCTTAAATAAGTAATTTCCTAGCTTGGGATTTTTCTTAAAAAAAAAAGTAGCGGCTTAAATGATCTCAAAAACTTAGAAAATGTGTTGACGTCGAATGATTTGTTTTTACCCCTGTTTTTACAACCCAACTGAAAGATGCTGAGAAGATAACCATACGTCTCTGAGTCATATCATAGTTTTTTAGCGTTACTTCATTTCGAGAAAGACAGAACGAAAAGTTGAAAAAGCATACGTCTACCAATCTGTTCCGCACTGGTAACACAAATTTTGTAACCAGTAATTAAAGTTCCTGTTAATTTTTAAGCCCCTTTCGTATTTTGTGCACGCTTCTAACTGGTAAATTTGTTTACCATCTCATAAGCTGGTAACAAAATATTGCTCCGTGAAATATACAAACAAATCCTCATAGCTGACTTGCTGAATATTTTGATTGCATTACCAACGTACCCAGAATCACGGTGACAAGAAGTGGTACAATTTTTCAGTTATAAAAATTTTCCGGTTACAAAATTATCGGTAACGTGCAAAATAGACCAGTAACAGGTCTATTCTGCACGTTACCGAAGATTTTGTAACCGGAAAATTGTATTACCAAAAAATGTTACCAGTTCTTGTCACCGCGATTCTAGGTACGTTGGTAATGCAGTTAAAATATTCAGCAATTCAGCTATGAAGAATTGTGCAAATCCTGGCATTGCATATTTTACGGGGCAATAATTTAATACCAGCTTATGAGATGGTAACAAAATTTACCGGTTACAAGAGTACACAGAATGCGAAAAGGGTTTAAAAATTGACAGGAACTTTATTTACTGGTTACAAACTCTTTATTACCAGCGCAGAATAGACCTGTAAATCACACAATATTAGTTAAGCCTAAACAAGTTCTGAAAATTAAATAATTTTGGACTCATTCGTACACGAATTTCGATCCTTAAAGCATTTTGACTGCATAACTTTATGTAGATGTAAAACTATTTTTTTGTTTGTGTTAAAAACTAGAAATTATTGATTTCAAGTCCGAACAAAAGAAAAACACACATACTCGTTCAAATAGACATTGTTACTACGTTTTAATCTACTCCTACCAGCCGGTTCTTTTACTGCGCAGCACCAATAAACTCAGGCATACACTTACATACATAGATATGTAGATGAAACTCATGTATGTAAATATTGAACCTATTTGCTTGTCAATATGAAAATTATTGGCCAACAATAAAGGAAGTGCATGTTCATATATACATAGTACGTACATACCATCACAGGTAGAAAGGCTTTCATCAGTATTATCGAACAGCGAACAGATGAAAGGAGTGTCCTCAAAGAAACAAAAAAATATATAAAAAAAACGGTCTGAGTGCACAAACGCAAAGCCAGTTAATAACACGATAGCCAGCGAAAGGGATGAATAATCGATTTATGCCTGTCATACAAAGAAAAAAAAAACCTACATTCAACATGTGGTAGCAGGCAGTCAAACGCAACATACATCTACATACATACATACATAAACATACACACTTACAAAAAGAGGAAGCTTTGTGAAGCATACAAACAGGCGAACAAGCAACTATTGTGGACATAACACCGTAAGTCGACATACACTCTGTGGTGAACATTGCTATGAAGTGCTGAGCTAAATAGCTTATTACTTGATTACTTACTTTAGAGAATGTTTCGGCGCGACTACTAACACCAAGAGCCAAAATGCGTGCTATGTACAGTTCCATGTGCCAAAATTTCTTTCAATAAATTAATGAAACTTTTGCACATGCACTTCTCAACTGCCATGTAATAAAAATGGACCTTCTAGAATGTTTATTTGGTTGGTCGGTTTTCATTTGCTGGGACGTTTAGTTATATCCCTGTTTTGTTTTTAATCAAAAAATATTTAGGGGTGGCTCAAAGTACCTAAAAAG